TCAATGTTCAAAAAATATCACGGTGATCTGTCCCATGTATTAGGTTTCATCTCAGTCCAATTGGACAAGGATTTGACTTATGAGGAGGAGCCTGTAGCTATTCTAGCCCGGCAGGTCCGACATTTGAGGTCTAAGAGTTATCCTTCAGTTCGGGTTCAATAGAGAGGTCATCCCGTAGAAGCATCTACCTGGGAGTCCGAGTCAGATATGCGGAGTAGATATCCATACCTTTTCATCAGCTCAAGTAATTTTCTAATTCCGTTCGAGGACAAACGTTTGTTTTAGATATGGAGAATGTGATGGCTCAAAAATGTCATCTTTAATTTAAACATTCATTTCTGTGTTCTATGAAGATGTTGAGAGCTTACCTGCTATGAGTTACGTATCACCTGAATAGTTAATGTTAATGGCGTTCTTTTTCTAGTAATATATTGCTTATGATGCCACTGTTAGTATTATTTTCATGTTGTATTACGTTGATTGGATTATGTATGTGTTGTTAGGGTTGGTTTCTGGGATTCTCTGGCAGGTGGATAAGCCCAGTTACAAAGGAACTTCTAGTGAAATTTCTGAAAAATTTGGGAGCCTGAGATGTATGAAAGAAGAGATATGTTATGTTAGGTGTTTGGGGCGGACTCTAATTCTCATTCAAGGACGAATGATCCTAAGCGGGGGAGAATGTAATGTCCCGTAAACTTTTGCCAAGAAATTTAAGGTTTTATGGTGCCAAGGTAGGCTAATATATTGTATTTTCGGACTTATTAGGTTGAACAATGCGTTGGGGAGTTGAATCATTTCGACCTCGTGAAGCCAGGTCTGTAGCACGCTAGACCGTGCTATATCCCTCGCGAAGCCTGGTATTTATCTCGCTATAGAGCTCGTAAAACCTAGTATTTAGCTCTCTATAGAGCTCGCGAAGCCTGGTCTGTAGCTCGCTACAGAGCGTGCCTAGCTTGGTCTGTAGCCCGGCCCGGAATTTGGAGAGTTTTTATAATCCTCCCCCCCTCCCCCTCCCCCCCAATTTTATTTAACTAGTTTAAGGTTCATATTTTGGGTATTTTCTGGTGTTTTAGAGAGAGAGAGGAGAGCGATTCTAGAGAGAGGAAGAGAGGAAAGGAAGGATTAAGGATTTCACTATTCTACCTTGAATCAAACCTTAAAATCGCATCAAAGGGTTGCTGGAGCTTCAAAGAGGAAAGAATTTCTTTTCCCAATCCTTCAATTTTGAAATCTAACTAGAAATAGGTAATTACTAAGATGATTCTTGGATGTGAGAGTATTAGTTATACATGCTTGTACCAATAAGGTTTGTGGGAAGATTGTTGAGTTGAAATGGGTAAAGATTGAGTTGAAAATGGTAGAAATCTTCAAAGACTTTAATTGAGAATTTGGAAGGCAATCCGATATCGGAATTCAATAATTTTTGTACGGTTGAACTCGTATCGGAACGGGTGTTCGGATTTCGTGAGTTTTTTTTATGGGATTCGAGACGTGGGTCCCACTGTTAATTTTTAAAATAAATTTTAGATTTTAATCCGGAAAATTAGTAATTTCATATGAAATTAATTCCTACGATTCGTATTGAGTATATTGAATTGTTTATGACTAGATTTGAAGCTTTCAGACGATAATTCGCGAGGCAAAGGTTTATTGGAATATTGAATTTGGTTGCAAAGTGAGGTAAGTGTCGTGGTTAATCTTGACTTGAGGGAATAAAACTCTTAAATTATTTGTTAAGAGAATTTCATGTGTAATGACGTATAGGCGAGGTGACGAGTGCCTATACGTCGTCAAATTAATTGTTTGCATAATTACTAGAAAAATTATAAATCGTTTTAAATCATGAATTAATTATTATATTAATTATTTCTCTCATATTCCTTGCTCAATATCATGCCTTGAATCCATGTTATAATTGCTACATACTTATTTGATTTATATGACTTAATTGCTACTTGACATTTAGCATACTAATTATTAAAATGCCTATTTCGTCCTTAATTTTCACAATTAGTTGTTACTTGTCATTACTTATTTTCTAAATAAATTATAATAATTGTATGCTTTGTTGCCTAATAATTTCTTACTAAATGTGATATTTATGGAGTGTTTTTACATTTAAGAGTTGTTTAATTATATTGTTGGAGCGGGTTGCACGCCACAACAGATTTATTTTTAAGTTTATATTGTTGGAGCGGGTTGCACGCCGCAACTGAATTTAATTGAAAGATTATATTGTTGGATCGGGTTGCACGCCGCAACGAATTTTATTTTAAGATTATATTGTTAGATCGGGTTGCACGCTGCAACGGATTTATTTTAAGTTCACATTGTTGGAGCGGGTTGCACGCCGCAACGGAAATAATTTGAGGGACTATGACTGCTGAATTGACTTCAATTTTAGATATGATTTACCGGTCTTACTTCTATTCCTGTTATTATTATTATTAATGCGTACATGTTAATGTAAGCGACCTGCCTTAGCCTCGTCACTACTTCGTCGAGGTTAGGCTCGGAACTTACAGAGTACATGGGGTTGGTTGTATTCATACTACACTCTGCACTCCTTGTGCAGATACCGGATTTGGTCCCAGCGGCGTACAATAGACTTGCTCGAATTTAGCTATTCGCAAGAGACTTGAGGTATAGCTACATGATGTTTGCAGTTCTGAAGTCCCCTTCCACTTTATCATAGTTGTGTATTTCTTTCAGACATCTTTATAGGATTCGAGCATAGAGGTCTATCTCTAGATCCTCAAGCTCTAGGAACTGACGACCCCAAAGATTTTTCATTCAGACCTTTATTTGTATTATTCTAGTAGCTCGTGCACTTGTGACATCAGTTCTGGAATGGTATTTAGACATCGCTATTATTATGGATTATTCACTTGATTTCTGACTTTATTTTCGCATTTGTTTTTAAAATTATTTAAAATGGATAATATTATTCTAACGTTGGCTTGCCTAGCAAGTAAAATGTTAGGCGCCATCACGGTCCCGAAGGTAGAAATTTCGGGTCGTGACAGCTTTTATCGAGTTAAAGTGTATGGATGAAAATAAGTGAAGTAGGAGGACCGAGATGTCAAACTAGAATAAGTACAAAGGTCTACCAGACTATTATGCCTTTTTCTATTATAGATTTTTTCTAACAATTCTTTTTCAAATGATAATAAAGCCAACCCATTTAATCTTTTATGAGAATTGTTAATCTTAAGTAGGATTTTATCAATTTTGATTTTAAAAACCTTATTTCCGCTGAGATAACTATTACAGGAATTATTAACATTATTTTCTTTTATGAAAGAATCAAGTCTATATTTGATTGAATATGTCAATTTGAGTAATATTTTTTACTTGTACTATTTTCTTTAACACTTTTAATTTAGAATAAGTCTAAACCATCAATATTAGAGTGAGTAATATATTTTAAGGAGCATTAAAGGTTAAGCAGTATTTTTTTTTTTAAATTTAGTCATATAATAGTCTCAAAATTTTTAACTGTTGAACTTTTAAACTCTTTGAAAAAGAAAGTAAGCAAGAAATAAAAGAGAAAGTATGTAATCTTAAGATATGGGGAAAATAAAGATGGTGACTTTAAAAAAAAATAAGAAAGAGAGTGTAAAAATTTACAACTATTCGTATATCCCATAATAATAATAATTCTAATATTGACGGTTTATTCATAAATGTAACAAATTTATCTTTCCTTTTATATGAAAAAATTTATTTTTCTACTAAAAGTACTCACTATTTGTTTTTAGGGAAAATACCGGCTATGTCCATTTATAAGTAGTTTATTATAAAAATTAGTCAATTTATAAAATATTACTAATATTAGCCAATTAGCTATTTGTAGCAAAAAAAAAAAAGTCAAGTTTTTGCTTTCTTTTGAGTGGGTGTTATTAGAATAGATTGAGTACTTCTTAAGGAGCTTGAATCTCAGTTTGGGATGATTTGGTGGAGTTTTGAGGTGATTTGAATTGAAAATTCGAAATAGAAGATAAACATGAAAAAATGATGTGTATCAAATGTGTGTATCACTTGTGTATTAGATATGTATCATATTTGTATCAAATGTGTATCACATGTATATCCATGTATACCTTCGTGTGAGATACATGTGTCGCAGAAGAACTTTATGAACTCGATTTTAACAACGATTTTTCATATTAATTCAGTCCAAATGACCTCCAATCTTTCTCAAATTTTGTATATTGACTCATCTATATGTTTTCAATGAATCTCAACCATACCTATTGAAAAAAGTCTTTTTTTCCTTAGATTTTTGGAATCTTGTATATATATATTTTTATATTTTATCACCTTATTTGCTACCTCATTTATGAAATTTCCTTTCCGTCTTGCATCTAATGTTGCTAATCACCTTAAAAATATGGTAGGAGATCTTTGTGTGTGATTCTTGGAGAGAAAGAACCTTATTTCTTTGATTTTTAATTCTTATATGTGCTTGACTAATTTTGATAAGTCTATAATTAATGGCTAAAGGTCGGTAAGTTGGAACTTTTTTGAGACATTTATGCAAGATTCCCTTTTTTAAAGAAAACCTATATATCTTTTATTGCCGAAAAATGGGGCCCCAATTTTGGGGGCCAAGTGCCTTACTTGCCAGCATTGTGCGACCTCTAAAGTGTTTTAATTGTCCCTTTTGTCGATTTTGTATTCTAAATCCAAAGTTTCCCTATTAATCTGTTATTGCTTCCGTCATATGATGATTAAAATATAATGGGAAGAGAAACCCGAAAAATTATATGAAAATTGAAATCTTTAGGTCGAAAAAAAATAAACCATCACATGAATATATTACATTGCTTTATGCTAATGATCATGCCAGAATTACAATTTAATATCAACAAGAATGTGGTCTTTTGATGCAATATTAGATGACAAATAAACTACTGTCCAATAAAAGAACAACAGCAAGCCGCACAATGCAATTTTGTAGTTGGTTTGGCATAGATACATATATTAAATTGTCATAATGTAAAGGAGGCAAACTAAAGAAATGCCTTGTAAAGAAAGCAGCCTAAACTATAAGTTTAAAGATTAGCAGATCATGATGTAATGAAGCATCTAGTGTCCCCAAAAGAAGACATTCTCTAGGTAAAATGTTATTTTAGATCAAGAATGTGACGCTCATCATCAAGAAATGTCCCTATGACAAGAAAAATAGATCACTTAAATCTTCCATGACTTGCTTTTCTTGTTCTATTTTTTATTTTTGTGGCTCATCTTTCTGGAAAGGCTTATAGTTGAAGCAAATATTAATGGTGGTGTCCATACTAGTCACCTAATAACACTCTGGCATGCTCCAAAAGGTCTAAGCTGTCCTCTAAAGCTTCTTAGCTATTAGCATGTGAATATCTCTGTTGTCATCATCACCATGGTATTGATGTTTTTTGGACCATAATTTTTCACTTTGTACATACTATAATCTTTGCACTTGTCTCTGGAAAACACAAAAAAAGAGAATCTGAATCACATTTTTAATGCAGGAGTTGGATAGTTAGAGTATGGTAAATGAGATGGGGAACACAAAGTCATCAGGTAAAACAGAAGAGCTTTGAAGTTCAAGATTGTTATTATTCCTTTTGAATTTCAAGAATCTGTTTGTTTGATGTGTTTCATGATTGATGTCACAGAAGCAGAGAATGCTGCAGTTGACGCTCAACAAAAAGGAGAAGCTGCTGGCAATGAAAATGGTGTTAAAGAAGAAAACAACGTAATTTCTGAAGGTGAAAGTAAAGATTATCATGAGAAAGCTGCAGCTTTGCCTACTTATGACCTTGAGAACTTTGAAGATGGCAAAGCAGGTTATTTTCACTGAAGTTTCTTGGTTATGGAATTAGCTTCTCTTCTGTAGTAGTATTTGTTTTATGGTAGTTGTCTTTTACTTAGAGAACGTCGTTCAAATCTCTAATGCAGATGAATATAAGAGAGAGACACAGCATAAGCATCCTTTTCCATGTACAGGATTTCAAACAGCTGCAAATGATTTAGTGAGTGAAATCACTAATATTGAAACACATAATTTTGATCAACCTCTGGAGTCAGTTTTGGAGGGGAAGGATGATCCTCATGACCAACCATGTAACCAGAAAGGTCAGTAACTTCCCCTGTCATCTTAGAACCTAATTATATTATACCCTTAGCTATATTTAATCTGCTTGTGCATTCAATCAAACAAAACTTAATTAGTTTTTGATTGTAACTTATGTTTGATAGTGGAAAAGATAACTATATTCTTATGCATGTTCCCCCTCCTTTCGTTATACTCTTTCGCGATTATATAACTAGGACATATACAAAATATATAATTGTATATATAGAGAGAGATAAGTAATCCAGAAAAATAAAACCCTTTGGAATTTCTTTCTAAATGGTAAAACTTACAACAGGTGAGGCAGAAGGAAGTTTACCTCATGATGAAGTTTTAAATACTGATCCAGGTGAATCCTCAAGTGTTGCCAATGAGACAGTAGAAGAATGCATCATATCATCATCACTTGAGGAACAAGAAACAACAAAGAATGGAAGATCAGACCAAAATGAAGATAAAACTCAGCTGATCAACTCTGAACTTGCACTTGCAGATAAGGGAATTGTTTCTGATACTGATGATCAAAGAGACGATTCCTTGGTGAGAGAAATGGCTGCCTCAGCAGATGGATCAAATGAGGAAAAACATGAGCTTATGAGTGCTGAAAATCAGGTTGAAAATGGTTTCTCAAATGGAGGTGATTGGGATGAAATTCCTAAAGTGGAGTCCAGTCAAATCGATGCTACAGTTTCACTGTTGACAGATATTCCACTGAGTACTCCATCGAGTTCGTTGGCAGCAGTTATTGAGCCAGAAGACAAATGTGCGGTTCATACTCCAGAGAGTAAATTGATATCAAACGAATCGGATAATGCTGTAAAGGAATGCGATCTGAAGAAAACTGAGTCATGTATGCAGGCAGTGCATGAAATGCAGATTGACAACGTAGCTTCTTCAATTGAATCACACCCCAAAGAGGCTACAGAGGAAAAACTATCAGGAAACAACACTAGTACTGATATTGTAATGGATTATTCAATTAAGGAGGATGACATAAACGTTCGACCTGATATTCTTCATTATGATCACACGCCACCAGTAGAAATGGGACTGCACCCTACAAAATTCTTTGGAACAGCTACTAATCATGAAGAAGAGAGCTCAACAGAAAATGGTCTTCTTTATAAAGCAAAGGGAGGAGTTGAGAAGTATAGTAGAAAGGAAATAATGGAGAAGTGCATATTGCAGTTGGGGTCATCAAAACTGGAAAATGGTGTCGATATCGCATATGCAGAAGGAAGAATGCAGGGGTTTGAGTCGGTTGAGGATAAAAAAGAATGCAATGCAGCCTTGACAGAACAGAATAGCTGTGAATTTGTTATCACTGAGGACTCTGGTGTTTTTGAACTCAAGACATCAGAAAAAGGGATAACGAAAATTGCAGCTTTTCCTGAGTCAGGAATTGCACAGAATGTTCAGCCAAGTCTTGAAGCATTAGCATTTTCCAATGAAAAATGTGCCGATGATCAAATGGTGCCAAGTTTTCATGATGAAACTCTTTCCAAAGCAACAGAGAGTATTGGAAGGTTAAGCCTCGAATCGATCCCAGATAAATCAAACGATGGAATTGAGCTTCGAAAGTCGCCAAGCTTTGATTTTGGTGTCCCTTTTCATAGAAGATCTTTAGAATCAGATCAAACTCCACTTCTCTGTCCTGAGAAGATTCCTACAAGAAGCTCATCAGTTAGCTCCAATGCAAAGTTCTCAAACTCATTAGACTACGGGTCAGTAGCAGTCGAAGAGAAGACTATTAGAATGGAAAGAAGTGATTCTGAAGCTCCTCTTTTAGGCTTGTTGAAGAATGGAGAAAATGGTGATCCGAAGGTTACACCTGAAACACAGCAGAACCATGTTGCTGTTATGAAAGGAGAGGAATTGCAGACTTCACAAGCAAAGGAAACTTCTCTAACTTCACCAAAGGGGAGCGGAAAACGCAGGGCCAGACCATCTTTCTTCAGCACTTGCATATGCTGCACAGCAGCCACTCATTATTGAACAGACTCAAAAAGATATTTGTTTTGTGTTTTGATTCTTTTTCATAATTGATTGGTTTTTCACCATATTAAAGGTATTTTCATGTGGCATTTTTCATCACAATGGAGTGTTGAGAGCATGCATAATCTGTAAGATACTGAAAAAAGGGTGTGAGAGTGAGCTAGCCTGAATGTCTGAGTGATGATTATAAGTTATACTTGCCGTTTTGTTTTTCCTCTTTTGGTTATTACTTTATTTTGTTAATAGTTGTCCCTTAATGAGTATTCTATTACATTGATTTGGTAAGATGTTAAGAGACTTTCTAACAGAGGTAGTTCAGCTGCCTTTGATTGTAATACTAGTCTTACTGAGGCCTTGTACGCGTGCTTCTCTTATCAAAACTGGCAGTGCAGCCCGGTGCACTAAGCTCCCGCTATGCGCGGGGTTCGGGGAAGGGCCGGACCACAAGGGTCTATAGTACGCAGCCTTACCCTGCATTTCTGCAAGACGCTGTTTCCACGGCTTGAACCCGTGACCTCCTGATCTATAGTACGCAGTCTTACCCGTGCTTCTCTTATCAATGGTGTCTTATTTGTCTTTCCTGTTACATGGCAAGGAATTTATGAGCCTCAACGCACAACGCAAACCAGAGATCAAAGCCTTATGTGTATGCCAAATGTCATCATGACTATGGGAAAACATCTAAAAGTTTGCTGCTAGATATACTAGATTGACAAATGAGATTGGTTCTAAGCTCAAGGTCACAAATGGTGGACTGTTGAGAATAATCACATAAGAAATGAAAATTCAAATGGGATGCTGAGATGGGAATCAGTTAAGGCCATAAATATTTGTCATCAAAATTCTAATTGAGTTTATTTAGAGGTAGATCCAACAGATAAGTAGTTGGTGCACGTGCACTCAGTGTCCTGGACTCGAACTATAATAATGAATATATATGTAAGTTGTTGTTGTTGTAACATTTCGTAAATTAGGATTAGGTACAGATGTGTTAAATGAGTATTAATGTGAAATTTTAGGCATGTGAAGTCATATCGGGATGAGTATGGGTGGAAATAGTTATTTTGGAATCAAGACGGAGAGTGGGGTGCATAAGATTCGAAAAATCGACTAAGTTTATGGAAGGTCTGTCTTCCAGCCTAATTTAATGAAAATCTGTTAGGAATTTTGTAATACCTCATATTCAAACTAGGGTATATTGGTCTTTAAGCATAACTTAATTTTTTTTAAAAAAAGAAGAAACCTAATCAATTAAAAGAAAGGGCAAAAGCCCACTAGAACGAGAAAAGAAAAAGGGGTTCAGAGAAGGGTTTACGTATTCTAAAACTTCTGCCGAAAGAGAAGCCACCAAACAGTTGCTATATGAACAAAAAACAACATAAATACTTCAATCTTGGAAGCTTTAGTTTTGGAGAAAACCAACAGAGAAAGAATTTCTTTTCTATAGAGAAGGAAACATAGAAAAGCTCCACACAAATAATTTTGAAAGCCAAGAATGGATCGTTTCAATAGCACCTTTGAAGCCTAAGCACTTTCAAGTTTCGAGTATTGCGGTAAATATCTAAACTCTTTATTTTAGTTATGTGGATAGATTCTTTAATAACTTCTTTTCTGAAATTTAAGCAATTTACATAGATTGTGAATAGCTTATTTAAATACCACAAAGAGATAGAGTTACTGGTGTATATTTGAGTGAAGAATTCATTGAAGAAACTATCTTGATAGAGTTATGGTGTAATTAATTACTTAAGCAAGTTTTAAAATTTTTAAAAAATCATAATTTGGAACAGTATATTTTCTACGGTAACTTGCCTTACTCTCAAAGTATACATATGACTTAAAGGAATGCGATCAAGATATAAAACTATTTTTACGTGATCTCGACAAATCCAACTTGACAAATTGATAATCAAACATGAAACTCCGAGAGTTGGGTATTCTAAATTAGTTACAAATTAGCCTAAACAAGAAAGTTAATTCGAGAACAATATGATGTGATTATAGATTGATTGAAGGAAGGCGCACGGATTGTTCGAAGTGACAAGTTTAATATTTCGACACGAGTATTGTGAGTAATAATCTTACCACAATTTGTGTTTTCATAACTTGCATGGTTTATATATGATTTTGAAAATAAATGTGTTACTGATGCTTTAAAATTGCACGTGGGACAAGTTCTTTACTTGACATGGTACCGAACAATTTACTTGAGATGTTTACCGGTTAATCTAAATGTTTTCACCGTTACTAGATATGTTTTACCGTTACTTTAGATGTTACAGTTATTTAAATTATTCTCACTATTACTAGACATGCATGTTTTACTGTTATGCGCTTTATTATTTTGAAAATACTTTCGTACGAGTATTTACTGTTTACAAGAAAGAGTATAAATGGAAGGAGACTTTGAAGGATCCCGTAGCTAACGACAGGTTCGTTAGATGTGGTGCACCTTGTATTTACCGATTATCGAGTACAATTATAGCCCTCGCTAGTGAGAAGGTAGAACTAGCATACAATAATAGTTTTCCCTCGAGTAGGGACCTACAGTTATATTTGACTCCTTTGACGAAGGGGTCCACACAGTGATACAGATTACATGATCCTTTCTTGAAAACCTCCCAAACATAAAGATTTGCTATGAGAAAGTGTTTATTGAGTTTATTACCGATTTGTTAAATTGATTTCTGTTACAGGAAACACATGAAAAGACTGATTATATTTACCGTTTTAGAAAGGGCATTCTTATGATTTTTTCTGTTTGATATACTAGTATGTTTTCTGACTTGTTCCCAATTAAAAACAGTTGTGGTTAAGTATTATTATTCACTGAGCTAGCGACTCACTCCCCGCTATTATTTTTACAGAGACAGCAGTAGATGCAGGCGAGGATTCCATTAGTTGGAGTACACGAGTTGACAATTCCTGGTGAGCCACGCATTTATTCGTGTGGGCAAAGATTATTATTTATTTGTTATAGTCTCTTTCTTAAAACTCTTAGAGTCTCTACATAGTCATTTTTATGAGTAATAGATATTCTTTTATTGATATAGACTTGTGACTCGTATTAGACTTTTCTATCGTATACTGGAGATGAAGTTAGTATTATTATATTGGAAATACTTCGCGAATGGGGATTATAACTTGTTTGGTCGATATAGGTTGGTTGTGTTGTTGATTTCTGAGACAGGTTTATTTTTGGATAGTCCTAAAATAGGGAAAACTCTGTCCGATTTTTTATAAATTACCGATGAGGCTTACTTGGGAGCACTTGCTCCTAAGCGCCGGCCATGATCCTAAATTGGGTCGTGACAAAATTGGTATAAGAGCCTAGGTTATTCTTCTGACTAATGGAGCACACATCGATAGTAGAATCTCAATTATGGTTATGTAGCCGAACATTCCCATAATCGTGAATCTGCGAGGATGTGATAGGATGTGTCTTGTCTTGTCTTGTTTCTCGTTCCCCCGTACATGTGTGACGATTAGGGTCAAATAACTAAACATCACCTTTTATCTTGTTTCTGTATGGCACGGACCAGTCATTCAATGATAGAGTTTGGCTAGAGGTTTAAAGACATTAAATTGCCTCCACTGGATAATAATTGTCTCCCACCAAAGGAAAGCAATAGAAAAGTAAGCAAGGCCAATGAAAAGATTGTTGTGCCACAATGAGGGGCTTTCATACCGCTAAAATATGTAATAATATCTACTCTTGAATTAAGCACTAGACCACAACTATGGCTAGGAGATTAGTATCATTGAGATTCTTACCTCTATGTAGAGAATAATTAAGAGCTTGATAAATATAATTGGTAGACAGGACAAAAAACTTGTAATAGATTAGGGATATAAAAGCTTTAGGCATTCAGTACTAAGATCGTCTGGAGCATAGATGTATTCTTAATATAGTTACTAAAAATTGAAACCACAAAGTTTACTTTTTCTGACACTTTAAGCATCCTTAAAGGTTTTGGAAAAACACTTAAAGCATTATGAGCTCTAAAATATTCCCGCGAGAAGCCTGTGGAGCTAGCAACTTATCGCCTGGAGTATATGACGAATATATGAAATGGAACCATATTATTAGGGACGCGGTTAGGAGTGACACAATTGACTTAGAAGTAAGTTTAGTAAACCTTTTATGAATCATTTCCTTCTCGATAGTCGAAAGCTCAAACCGGACAGGTACTTAAGAAATTAATTCAAACGATGGATGTACTGACATGTGACACCAGACTTTATCAGCTGGCTAGGTATGTGATGCCTTAGGACTAGAGGCTTGTCTAATGGTTGGTTAACCATTTAAAAATAAAGCAATACTCTCACATACGAAGACTCTGACTTATTCTGTGGAAGTTGAACTTGTTAGGAAAAGAAAATATTTAAGAACTGGATGTGATTGTCATGCAACTAAGAATTCATTTAAGAAGGTAGAGACTAGGAAATCTCGCAATATAAATTTATTTTTCTTATATAGGACGAAGAGTTAGATAAATAACATCTTGAGATATTATGATATCGTTTAATAGTTGCTACTTTTATGGAAGAATCTTGTACATTTGAAACTTTATATTAAGCTTATTAGATTCAAGTTGAGAGAGAGGATACACTATCTAGCCAAATTGTACTTGACCTTGTTAATTTGACATGCTTATAGATGTGATTGATTATTATATTATTACATTACCTTTTATTACCATGAGAAGGTAGTAACATTGATATATCTAGCAAACCTATTTGTAAAAAAAGAAGAAGAAGAAGAAGAAGAAGAAGAAGAAGAAGAAGAAGAAAGAATCATATCCTAGTGATAGTCGAGGTTATATCATTTAAGAAGGCTCTACAATTAGTGAATAAGAGTGGTTAGGGTCTCGTAACTTTCGTAAAGAGATCCAAGAAATGTGAAACTTAGGTTGAAAAATAAAAGTATCATAGTGAGAGATTTTTCAGGACTACCTCGAATAGGAGAAATAGACTTCGGTATTGATTTGACACCTGACACGTAAACTGTATCATATGGCACCAACGAATTGAGAGAGTTAATGAACAATTGCGAGACTTGCTGGATACGGGTTTTATCGTATTGAGTGTTGCGCCATGGGGTACACTAATATTGTTTGAAGAAAAAAGGGATAAGTCTTTAAGAATGTGCACCAACTACAGATAATTAAATAAGATAACAATACACAACAAATATCCCTTGTCTTGTATAGATAACTTGTTTGATCAGTTACAAGGAGCCATTGATCCTTAGTCTGGTTATCATCAGCTTAGAATAAGAAAGGAAGATATTTCAATGTTTGCCTCTAGTACTCGGTACAAACATATGAGTTACTTGTGATGTCTTTTAGATTGGCCAATGCTCCAACTGCATGGATGTATATAATGACTATGGTGCTCAAAGTTATTTTTGGAAAAAAAAAAGTCATAGTTTTTACTTACTATATTCTGGTATATTCTCGTACCCAGGAAGAGCACGGGAATTACTTGAAAATATGTTAAAGACGCTGCAGAGAAATCAACTTTTTACCAAGTTCTTCAATTAGCTAGACTCAGTGGTATTCATATGACACATTGTATCTAAGAATGAAAAGATGGTACCTTCAAATAAGATAGAAGCAGTTCATAAATGGTCAAGACCCATTTCTCCTACAGAAATTGCTTTTGGCTTGACAGCCTACTATAGGCATTTGTGTAGGATTTATCTAGAATAGCACCACCACTCACCAAGTTAACATAGAAAATCACTAAATTTCAGTGGGTGGAAGAATGTACAACGAGATTCCAGAAGCCCAAAGCATATTTGACAATCACACCAATGTTAGCCTATGTTTCAAGGAAATTGAAGAAGCTCAAGTTGTATTATGCCACTCATGATTTGGAGATGGTCATAGTGGTATTTCCTTTTAAGATTTAGAAACACTATTTATACGAAGAAACCTATAAGAATTATACCTAGCACAAAAGCCTGAAGTACATTTAAAACCAATAGAGATATAAATATTTATCAATGCTGATGGAGGGAACTACTGAAGATATAATTGTACTGTTTTGTATTATTCGGGAAAGATAAATATTATAGCTTATGAAAAACAAATATGGGTGATTTGGCACATATAGCTTCTGTAAAGATATTTCTGGACAAAGATATGCATAGACTAGAGGGTACACGTATTAGATTCAATGTGAAAAAAAATTCAAAGGCATTATTGGTTATTGGTAAAGCCTGATGTAGAGTGCATAAAGACTAGCCAATACGAGGATGAGCGATTGTTTAACTATCAAGATTAGTTTCTAGCTGGTAAAAGCAAGGATATGACTGTTAATAGTGAGGGTATTATCCGACTAGATAATTAATTATGTGTAGCAAACATATATGGGTTTAGATAGACTATCTGTGATGGAGTTCACAACTCTAAATACACTGTATATCTCAGGTCAATAAGATGCACCATGACTATAAAAAAATGTTTGGTTGGAAAAGATAGAAGGAAAAAAAAACCGTTAACTTTGTTTCTAACTATTTGACATGTCAGCATGTTAAGGCAAGCACTTACGACTCACAGGCCCAATACAACAACTCAAGATTCTGAAGTGAAAATATAATAGAATTACAATACATTATATGACTAAATTGCTCAAACCATTAGAGTTATGATTATATGTGGGAAAGTTGTAAATTGGCTTACAAAGTAGGCACATTTCTTGCTAGTCAAAACCTCTTATAGTGAGGTAAAATATGCACAGATATACATAAACAGAAAATTATATAACTCAGTAGAGCTCTATGGTTCATCATCTCTAATAGAGGATCACATTCACTTCACGATTTAAAAACCTTTTCAAGAAACGTTGGGTACTCGAGTAGATCTTAGTACTTGATTTCATCGCACGCATACGCAAAGTACGAATGTTCTATACAGATCTTGGAGGATATGTTGAGAGTTTGCATTCTTGAGTTTGGAGGTAGTTGGGACACTTATCTACCTTTAGCTGAATTTGCTTACAACAATAGTTTCTAGTCTAGTATTCAGATGGCACTGTACGAAGCATTATATGGTAGAAGATGACGTTCTCCTATCGGAGGCTTTGATGCTGGTGAGACTAACTTATTGGGACCCGACTTAGTACGAGAAGCTATTGACAAGGCCCAATTGATCAGACAGAGATTGCTCACAGTTCAAAGAAGACAAAAATCTTATGCGGATAAGAGAAAAAGAGACTTAGTGTTTACAATTGGGGGACAAAGTGTTTCTACGAGTCTCTACTATGAAGGGCGTGATGCGATTCGAAAAAAAAAGGTAAGTTGAGCCCGAGGCTTATAGGTCCGTGCGAGATACTTGAACGAATATGAGGTATGGGATATCGTTTGGTACTCCCTCCTGAGTTGTCTTTTATTGATCCGGTGTTTCATGTCCCAATGCTAAGAAAATGTATATGAGACTCATCTCACGTGCTTGAAGCACCAACTATACCGCTCGATGAGAAGCTGTCTTACGAGGAGGAGCCAATGGCTATTGTTGATAGACAAGTTAGGAAGTTATAGCCAAAAGAAATATGTTCGTAAAAGTCTTATGGAGAAATCATACAGTAAAAGAAGCTACAGAAGCTACATGGGAAGTGGAAGATGCTATGCGAGTCAAGTATCCTTATATTATTCAGTCTACAGGTATGTAACTGAGCTAAATTTGGGGACCGAATTTTATAAGGTGGGGAGAATGTAATATCTCATATTCAAGCTAGGGTATATTGGTCTTTAAGCATGACTTAAATTTTTTTAAAAAAGAAGAGAAATCTAATCAATTAAAAGAAAGGGCGAAAGCCCACTAGAACGAGAAAAGTAAGAGAGGTTCAGGGAAGGGTTTACGTATTCTAAAGCTTCTGCCGAAAGAGAAGCCACTAAACAGTTATTATATGAACCAAAAACAACATAAATACTTCAATCTTGGAAGCTTTAGATTTGGAGAAAACCAACAGAGAAAGAATTTCTTTTCTATAGAGAAGGAAACATAGAAAAGCTCCAAACAAATAATTTTGAAAGCCAAGAAAGGATCGTTTCAATAGCACCTTTGAAGCCTAAGCAATTTCGAGTTTCGAGTACTGCGGTAAATATCTAAACTCTTTATTTTAATTATGTGGACAGATTCTATAATAACTTCTTTTCTGAAATTTAAGTAATTTACATAGATTGTGAATAGCTTATTTAAATACCACAATGAGATAGAGTTACTAATGTATATTTGAGTGAAGAATTCATTGAAGAAGCTATCTTAATAGAGATGTCGTGCAATTAATTACTTAAGCAAGTTTTAAAATTTTCAAAAAAAAATAATTTGGAACAATATATTTTCTACGGTAACTTGCCTTACTCTCAAAATATACATATGACTTAAAGGAATGCGATTAAGGTATAAAACTATTTTCACATGATCTCGACAAATCCAACTTAACAAATTGATAATCAAACATGAAACTCCGAGAGTTGGGTATTCTAAATTAGTTACAATTTAGCCTAAACAAGAAAGTTAATTCGAGAACAATATGATGTGATTATAGATTGATTGAAGGAAGGCACACGGATTGTTCGAAGTGACGAGTTTGATATTTCGATACGAGTATTGTGAGTAGTAATCTTACCACAATTTGTGTTTTCATAACCTGCATGGTTTATATATGATTTTGAAAATAAATGTGTTACTGGTGCTTTGAAATTGCATGTGGGACATGTCCTTTACTTGATATGGTACCGAACAATTTACTTGAGATATTTACCAGTTAATCTAAATATTTTCACCGTTACTAGATATGTTTTACCGTTACTTGAGATGTTACAGTTAATTAAATTATTCTCACTGTTACTAGACATGCATGTTTTACTGTTACTTGAGATATGATTACCGTTACCGAAATAAAATTATAAGATTTGATAAGAAATGATATGCCCTTTATTATTTTGAAAATGCTTTCGTACGAGTATTTACTGTTTACAAGAAAGAGTATAAATGGGAGGAGACTTTGAAGGATCCCGTAGCTAACGACGAGTTCGTTAGACCTGGTGCACCTTATATTTACCGATTACCGAGTACAATTATATCCCTCGCTAGTGAAAATGTAGAACTAGCATATAATAATAGTTTTTCTTTGAGTTGGGACCTACAGTTATATTTGACTCCTTTGATGAAGGGGTCCACACAGTGATACAGATTACATGATCCTTTCTTGGAAACCTCCCAAACATAAAGATTTGCTATGAGAAAGTGTTTATTGAGTTTATTACTGATTTGTTTCAATTGATTTCTGTTACAGAAAACACATGAAAAGACTGATTATATTTACCATTTTAGAAAGGGAATTCTTAATATATTTTCTGTTTGATATACTAGCATGTTTTCTGACTTGTCCCCAATTAAAAATAGTTGTGGTTAAGTATTATTACTCACTGAGCTAGCGACTCACTCCACACTATTATTTTTATAGAGACACCAGTAGACGCAGGCGAGGATTCCGTTAGTTAGAGTACACGAGTTGACAATTTTTGGTGAGCCCCGCATTTATTCGCGTGGGCAAAGATTGTTATATATTTGTTATAGTCTCTTTATTAAAACTTTTAGAGTCTCTCCATAGTCATTTTTATAAGTCATAAATATTCTTTTATTGATTTAGACTTGTGACTCGTACTAGACTTTCCTATCGTATACTTGGAGATGAAGTTAGTATTATTGTGTTGGAAATACTTCGCGAATGAGGATTATAATTTGTTTGGTCGATATAGGTTGGTTGTGTTATTTATTTCTGAGACAGGTTTATTTTTGGATAGTCCTAAAACAGGGTAAACTCTGTCCGATTTTCTGTAAATTATCGATGAGGCTTACTTGGGAGCACTTGCTCCTAAGCGCCGATCATGATCCTAAATTGTGTCGTGACAAATTTGAGAAAACATAAAACAATAAAGTTGTAGCCCTTTGAAATAACTTTCTAATTATTTATTATGGAGCCTGTACGGATCACTGTGAAAAGAGTTATGCGCATTTTATTGGACAATGTGCAGCCTCCGCGCCCAGCTGTCATGTGCGCGGCCTTGCTGCATGTTCAAGTGCGCGGTTGGGCCTTCAGTTGCGTGGGCGTGCACCTGGAAAGATGTTTTAAAAGCCCTACCTCGTCCCTCACACCCCAAAACACGAAAACTTGCTCTAGAAAGGGAATCTCTCAAGAACCTACCTTCTTCCAAGGTCCCTCCATTATCCAAGGTTAGTTCTAATGATGATTCAAAGTTAATTTTAATTCTCTAACATCTTATTAATATGGGTAAACCCTTCAAATCATTAGATATTCGATTGAGACATCAACTTTGAGAGACGAAACCCTAGAAATCAAATTTAAGAGGATTGAACTTCAAAAAGGTAATGCTTCTACTCCCTAATCATTTATAGCTATGAATTGATGAGTTTTTGGGAGAATAGTAGACCGGATTGATAAAGGGAATCATATGAACTGTGCTAGGATTTTGGGTTGTTGACTTAAGATTGTTATAAACATTTGGATGATGAGAAATGGTGTTAGTTATATCTATTTGGAATTGTAGATCACCTAGAAGTAGTAGAATGAGAATTGGGTAAAGAAAACACCATTAATGATGGTTATGAGGCTTTACGCCCATAATATGTTTGATAAAATTTCTAAGTAACCAAAACATGAGCCTTAATGTTAATAATGGTTCCTCTTGATAAATATTGCCATAGATTATCGTTGAAAGAGGCGACGAACATTGCGATACGGTTAAAAAGGCCAGCGTCAAGGTATGTGAGGCTAACTCTCTACGCTTGGGAATGTTTATGATTCTCCCTACGTCTCATTCTTATGGTTATTATGAATTGCCTCTCAAAGTTATTATGCCCCAGTTCCATGAATAGTTGTAGAACTTCTATTCTCTAGATGGCATGGCTTCATAATTCGTCCAGTATCCCATGAGTCTCGGTTATGACAAATCATTTTATTACGAATACATGTCCCAGTTTAGTTCTATTCAGCATTCCAGTATCATGTAACTCAATATGATTCAGTGTTTCAGTATCATGTATTGCAGTATAATTCTCAGTTCCTGATTTTAAATCCCTGAATGTTAAACACCTATTTTTGGGCCTGAGGCCGCAGTTATGTATACGTATACTTGGGTCTGAGGCCGCAGTATATGTGTGTGTATGTATGTATGTATATATATATATACACACACACACACACACACACACACACACACACACACACACACACACACACATATATATATATATATAGTATATTGGCCCTGAGGTTGCAGATTATTTAATCAAATAAATAGGTGATTTCTTATTCAGAACAGGGAGTATTCATATCTTCACTTCCTTGCTAAGTTCAATTATCAGTTATCAGCCAGTTTCAGTTTTAGTATTTACAGTTCTTTCTTTCAGTTGTTTTACATACAAGTGCAATTCAAATGTACTGACGTCCTTTTTTATCCGAGGCCTGAATCTCGCGATGCAGGTAACGATTTACAAATTGACGATTCTGCTTGCTAAGACATCTCGTATCAGCTATTCCTTTCTTTTCAGTCGTTATAGTATTTCAGTTAGTAAGGTACGTCGGGGACCTTGTCCCGGTAAACAATTAGCATTTCAGTATTCTTTAGAGGCTTCGTAGACTATAGTCCAGTCAGTCAGGTGTTAGCAGGCTTCTATGTGTTAGCCTTGTCAGCTACTCGTTTATACTTCTGCATTTGTGATATTTAAGTCAAACTCTTTAGTATATCAACATGTTGCATGTTTATATTCAGCTTACAAACATACCACATGTTGATCCAGCCAATTCATAAAGTATTATCAATATTAGCCAAATGCTACCAATATTAGCCAATTAGCTATTTGTAACTTTAAAAAAGTTAAATTTTTGCTTTCTTTTGTGTGGGTGTTGTTGGAATTGATTTGGTACATCTTAAGAAGTTTGAATCTCAATTTTGGGATGATTTGATGGAGTTTTGAGGTGGTTTGAATTGAATATTTGAAGTAGAAGATGAACATGAAAAAAGATATATATATATATATATATATATATATATATATATATATATATATATATACATATATCATATTTGTACTAAATGTATATCACAAGTATATCCATGTATACCAATTTGTGAGATATATGCGTGATACATGTTTGATACATGTGTCGCGGAAGAATTTTTTAAACTCTATTTTAACTACGAATTTTGATATCAAATCACCTCCAATCTTCCTTAAATTTTATATTTTGACTCATCCATATGTTTCAATGAATTTCAACCATACCCATTAAATAAATTACTTTTTGCCTAATTTTTTAATATTGTATATCATTGATAATGAATTCTGACTCCAAACTAGTCTAATTTGTAGGCATATAAATTTTATCGGAGTTAAATCCAATAAAATAATTTGGATCATATTTTAAATACAAGATATATTAGGTCAAATAAATATTATGGGCTAATATAATTGAATTATATAAGTCCAAAACATAGGGGTTAAATAAATAGGTCCAAATCTATTGCGCTAGCCCATTTAATTGGACTACAAGTGATGAGCTCACTTCACTAAGCTTAAGATGTCATCTTCCTAGAGGCCCAATTCGGTGCCATGTGTCAAATGACGTGGCACGCCAAGTCAAACGAAAGAGCCAATAGGATCATGCCACGTGTCAAAATGACAAGGCATGCCAAGTCACATTAAAAGACCAATGAAACCGCTCCACGTGTGCAAGTGACATGTTCTGGCCAATCAAATGCGGGCTTGTCATACTTCAATTTGATTGGTCGGAAAGAGTTTGTTCTTATCATAACTCTTCCCTCCCACAACTATAAATAGGGGTCTTCATAACCTAGAAGAGACACAAGAAGTTATAACATGAAGCACGAAAGAGCTCGTGGATCAAACACTGCAAATTCCTCCACAGGTTTCAAGCCTCAAGCAATCAAGTTCAAGTCCAAGAAATCAAGTTCAAGCTCAAGAACGAAGAACAAATCAAGATTCAAGGAGTACGAGCTTAAATCAAAGTTCGTACTAGTTGAATTCAAGATTATCGTTCGTGATAACAAATTCAAATTCAAGATCAAGCTCAAAGGCCCTTGAATTTATATTGAAAAAGTAAAATCAGAGGATTCATAGAGATTGTACACTCATACTATTCGAAATCAAATACTACGATTGTTGAAATATTTTTCGGTCTCGATTTTATTTTTTTGACGCAATTTTATTGCCTACAAATTCTGGCACGCCTAGTGGGATGTACACAATCTCGTGGAAGAATTTGCAGTGTTTGATTGCGAGGCTTGAAACTTCGTTGAGATATGCAACAATGCTGGGACTTATGGAGATTACCTCGTCAAGCAGTTTGTCCGCTCACTAAAAGGAAATGCTTTTGATTGGTACACAGACCTCGAGGCTGGATCTATTGATAGTTGGGATCAACTAGATCAAGAGTTCCTTAATCGCCTTTATAGCACGAGATGTACTGTGAGTATGATATAACTTACAAATACTCGTCAACGAAAGGGTGAACCAGTTATCGACTTTATCAATCGTTGGAAGAATGCATGCCTTAACTGCAAAGACAGGCTTGGTGAAGCTTCGAGCATAGAGATGTGTATCCAAGACATGCATTAGGGACTGCGCTACATCTTGCAGGGTATCAAGCCTAGAACATTTGAAGAACTTGCGACTCGTGCCCATGACATGGAGTTGAGAATGGCTTCCGTTGGAAATAAAAGGCTTCCCATCTATGAGCTTTGCAAAGGGAACGACTAGAAAGAAGCCAGAAAATGAACCAAGTTTGTACCCAAGTCTGAAGGCAAAGAAGCTATGAATGTCAACACATCACCTGTGAAGTTCACAACGAAGGTGAGTAAGAAGCAGAGTATGAAATCCACTTCCTTTCAAGATAAGACAAGCAGAAAGTTGACTCTGAAAGAAATGCAAGAAAAGGAGTATCCATTCTTAGATTCGGATGTGCCTGCAATTTTTGAAGAGCTTCTCAAGTTAAAACTCATTGAGCTTCCGGAGATGAAGCGGCCAAATGAAGCTGGGAAATCTGATGACCCAAATTACTGCAAATATCATCGACTCGTGAGCTCCCCCTATGGAGAAATGCTTTGTCTTCAAGGACAAAGTTATGGACTTGGCTCGTGAAAAGAAGACCATGTTTGAAGATGAGAAAGAAAGTGCAAACCAAGTCTCTATCACCTTTGGCTCATTCAATCCAGATGAATTATGTAGTTTTAAAGAAACTAAAGATGAAGAATTACTGGAGAACAACAAAGTTGAAGTTGATCAAACTGATGATGATGAAGGTTGGACGTTGGTGACTCATCGTAGGCGCCACAAAAGGAGCCCACGAAAAGAATCAATAGAACAACCAACAAGAAAAATGATGGTAAAAAGACCAAGGAAACGAAATCCAGTTAAGCATTTGAAGAAGGAAAAGGTGGAAGTGCACCACCCTCAAAAGCCACGACATCTAGTGACCTTGGAGAAGTTCTTGCCAAGTTGGTTTCGCACGAAGATTTCTCATAATGGCAGTGAGGCCTTTTGTTGCCATGATGGCAAAGAGGAAGAAAAGAATGATGACCTACCGTTAGCACCATCTTTGGAAAAGGTCATCGAGTCTATTCCTCAAGAATTTAATGCTTGTGAGGAAAATGTTACGTTCACAAATGACGATCTTCTACTAGGTGACACTCCTCAAAACCGTCCATTGTACCTGGTTGGCTATATGCACGATGAAAGAGTAAATAGAATTTTGGTTGATGAAGGATCCTAAGTGAACATCTTGCCAATTCGCACTATGAAAGAACTTGGCATTCCCATGAATAAACTTTCAGAAAGTCGTGTGATGATTCAAGGATTCAACCAAGGGGGGCAAAGAGCCATAGGTGCGATCAGGTTGGGAATCACCATTGAATATATGCAATCAAGTCCATGGCTGAATGTGATCGATGCAAAGACTTCATACACCATCTTGCTTGGAAGGCCTTGGATACATGAGAATAAAGTGGTTCCATCTACCTACCATCAATGTTTGAAATACTACGAGGGTGAAGTCGAGAAGAAGATAGTTGTTGATGATGAGCCATTCACCGAGATTGAGTCACACTTCGCCGATGCAAAGTTCTACTTGAAGAACCGCATTGTGAAAGAGCTAAAAGCTGATAATGTCATAAATGTCAAGAATGACGAGTCCACGACTAAAAGAGCTGAGGTAGTTGCCGATAAAACCAAGGTTGTTGCTGAGGAGGCATACCCTAACTCAAATAAATCTCATGGAGGGAACACTGTATCTTATGGCAAGAAAGTAACTCCTACGCTCTGCTATGTCCCTAAAAATATGAAAGAGGATGGAGAATCAACCAAACTCCAAACCAATATGCTAACGGAGTTAACTCTTCTGATCAAATGAATTGAGGCAATAAAGTTTCCCTCAACACTACTTGCAGGGTTTGTGGCCCAAAATCATTTGCAGAATGTGGCACTCCCTATGAAGCGAACAGATGAAGGTTTTGATCCTAATGCTTACAGGCTATTTGCAAAAGCTGGATACAATCCTAATGAGCCTTCAAAGTTAGGGAAGCTCCCACCAGAAGCTGCTACGAGGCAACCACGTGAAGGAAAAGGAATAATTAGATCATTGTAGAAGATGAATCTGCCGCTTCTAACAGACCTTCAGTCTTTGATCGACTTGGAAAACCAACTGTTAGGACTTTCGTATTTGAGATATTGGGTCCATTAAAGAAGGGAAATAAGTTTCAGATAAATTATCGAAATACAAGAGCACCCACTTTGCCCAAAATTCAAAAGATCTCTAAGAATTTCCAAAGTCTGGTTCCATCTAGAATGAGGCGACAGACGAAACTCGTGGTTTCATGTGATGAGGTACTGAAGGTAAAGCCATATACTGTGGTATATACCAAGAAACGTGATGAAGACGAAGAGAGCGTAGGCTCTTCATATCACGTCACTTTAGAAGGCGAGCAATATGTTTCATATCTAATAAAGGTTGACGAGAAATTGGAGGATATTTCTTGGTTTTACCACATATCTTTCAATGATGGAGACCCTCAAGAAGATAAGGATGCAAAAGATGCTCCTCCTGAACTTGAATAAGGGGTGAAGACAACGATTGATGCCTTAAAAGAAGTTAACCTTGGCACAAATGAAGAACCAAGGCCCACTTACCTAAGTGATTTACTAGCAATCGATGAAGAAAGCACTTATATAGAGTTACTCAAGTAGTTCAAGGATATTTTTGCTTGGAGTTACAAAGAGATGCCTATCTTGGACCCTAAAGTAGCAGCCCATCACCTTGCAGTCAAGAATGGCACTCGCAATGTTAAGCAAGCCCAAAGGCGCTTTACACCGGACTTGGTTCCTTTGATCAAAAGTTAAGTTAACGAACTCATTGAAGTTGGCTTTATTCGTGAAGTTAAATACCCAACCTAGGTTTCAAGTATTGTTCCCCTGAGAAAGAAGAATGGCCAAATTCGAGTGTGTGTTGAATTTAGGGATCTCAATAATGCATGCCCTAAGGATGATTTCCTGCTTCCTATTCCAGAGCTTACGATTGATGCTACCACTGGGTACAAGGCAATGTCATTCATGTATGGTTCATCAGGCTATAACTAAATTCGCATGGAACCAAAAGATGAAGAGCTTATTGCATTCCACACCCCAAAGGGTATTTATTGCTACAAGGTAATGCCTTTTGGCTTGAAAAATGTTGGTTCCACAAACCAAAGGGCTATGCAGAATATTTTTGATGACCTTCTCCA